TGCGATTTCTTAATCTCAAGAAATTGCAATTTTAAGATTTGCATTCAGGTGATGCAATTCTTTTGACCGCCACTGTACCATGATTTAGATCATATTGGACATAATTCTTAAATAGTACAAAAAAAGATGATAACGGTATTTTAAGCTAGGATTTCTGTTTGAAATTCAAATATCATTTCAAATATTTGAAATTATAATTTTCTATCTATAACAAGATATTCGAAGTTCTATTTCAAATGGAAACCTGATCAAATGGATAAATGCCAACTTGATAATTTTTTTTCATACAATACGTATTTCTCCAATACTCTTTCCAAATATGGATGAGGAGTACAAGCGATTCGGTTATTCTCGTGTCTTGGTTTCGTAGCCTGTTTCAGTTCCAATACACCCCAGTTTACTATCATTAAGAGTGTTTTCTCCATGTTTAATGGTGTAGAAGTATAGGCAAAGGTAATACTTATAAATTAATTATCGGACAAAAAAGTGTGTTATTTGTTGAATACGATTTTTGATATTGGGACAAAGTCAATAAAAGGTTCCTCTATTAGTTTATTCAATTTTTCATGTACGCCAGAATAATCAATTTGATCAGTTCTGTGCCTCATTTGATATTACATATTAATTACTTCCTCCGCTCCGTTAATCAAATATATTTCTTTATTTTAATTGAACTTTTTTTGAATTATCGTATATTTTGAATTTTATACTTAGAATGTTTAATTTCATATAATTTTTTTTATATTTAATAAATAATTTTGCCCGGATGGTATATTTAAGGATTTTTTAATTTGGTAAAAAGGTTATGCGCATGCAGATAACTACTGCGCTACTTGATCATAAAAAAAAGATAAATTTAAAAAAATATTATGGGAAGTAAGCTATTAAAATCACGTTACGGATCAATCAGTTTGTTTATTTTTATCATATCAATTTAAGTAGTTAATCTATACCGAAGAAAATTACGATCACCTAGGGAAAATTTTAGTCATACAATTGATTTTTAAAGACGGATAGCCGGAGCATAATGTGTAATATTTACGACGATCGCTCGGCATAATCTTATATTTTGATATTACATAATAAATGCTGTAAAAGTATTCTGTATCTGTTTATTTTATCAGTTTAAAAATAGTTATGAAAATCTATAAGGGTTTTATTTTCTACGCACCTTGCACAAAATGTAGGGTGCGTTATATAAGAGGTGACATATAAATATATCTATAAATAAAAAAAATTCCAAGTCCCCAAAATAAACCGTAAAAATGAAACACATAGGGGTGTGACTAAAATAAAGTTTAAAAATATATAAAAATATAGCAGAAATAAGGTAATAATTATAATTATAATCTTTATGAAGGGGCCAAATTTGAAAATTATTATGACTATAACATGAATTAAATGAATGGACATAATATAAGAAATGGTTAAAAAAAAAATAATGAATGATCATTTTGCCGCTCAGCGAATAAAAACTGGTTTAAACAGTACAGTCAAAGATTTCCCAATTTTCTAAAACACCATGAAAGTGAAAACATTTATCCCCATCATTATTGAATGGGCCACGCCATTTATCGTGTTCAAAAGATCCAGCAACGTTGAAACCGAGGTAATATTTTTTTACACGATCAGGAATATTCACAGAATAACCTTTGTGAGCTATTTCACTACCATCGGCGAATCGTCCATCCCCTCCGTTTACTGTTGAAGCTGTAACAGTTGTCGTTGTACCAGCCGATACCTTGTTATGTATCCACACGGTATGATCAGCTTATTTATTCCATTCAACAAATATATATAAAGTTATTAGAGTAGATATTAATTAAATATTAAATATTTTGTCATGATCATTCATATTTACCTTCAATGAGCGTGAGCGCCATCGATGTTAATAGGCCAAAGATGATTGCAATTAATGTGGAAAATTTCATGGCGAATTTATATATTTTTTTAATAGGAGTAGTAAGTATATTTAGTTGAAGTAGTAAGTATGTTTTGATGAAGTTTTGATTTGATCCATGCTTTATATTTATATCTAAAAACTTTTCATAAAGCCAAGGGAAAAAAAAAAAACTAAACATATTCGTAAAATTCAGAAAATCACAAATTCCTTTTTGCGATATTCACATTTTTATTTATTATGAAATGATTTTCATTATCGTTATTTTAAATTCTTATTTATTACAAAAAGGGACAAAAAAATAAAATTTTAATTTAATAAATGTTTTGAATCAGTTAAAATTTACATTCAGGAATAAAATTTTCGACTTTACCCCCTTTCTCGACTGATACTAAAGGTGAAATTATACAAGATTTTCATCCCTCTGACCTAAAAAAATTTTTTATATATTAAATTTTAATGAATATGAGATGATCTAAAAAAAATAGTCGGTATCTTTTCTGATTTTTGTAATTCTGTCAAAATTTGGTGCCACGTTTTGAATTTGGCTACAGGGTTATTTGTTTGTATTTATTACCTCTTTATTTTTTATTCATTCTAATCAATTTTATTTATTGTATTGCGGAAAATTTTTTCAAAATCTTCAAAATTCAATCCTTTTATTGGTGTAGCAATTTAGCATTCCCCTTTTTTGTTAACAAAAAACTAGATTCATTATTATGAAAAAATAAAAAAAAAAAAATTGTATGAATCAATAAAGACCCTATTTTATTTAATTGTTTTATTAATAAATTATCAATTTTTATTTTTTTCTTATCTTTTTAGGTTAGTTTCGATCCTCTTTCCCGGTTCATCACCGAAGGTAAGCTGACTAATTTTTTTCGATTTATTTTTTTTTTTTTTTTTTTTTCTTATTTTGGTAATTAGTTCTGAGTACTAATTATATTTATTTGATTAATTTTATTTTTTAGGCTAGATCGGTTCATCCCTTTAGCTGGAATTACTCGATTTTCGTTGCCGCAGCATAGGTTGCTTGATTTTATCATTACCTTAAATATTAATTTTTTTATTTATTTTTTTTTTATATAATCACATAATAAAAATTACCAAAAAATCTTTTATTATTCATTCATGTGATTCTTCTTCCCAATTTTTTTTTAAAAATCATTTATAAACAACCAATATCGATATGATATCATAACCAAATTTATACCTATTTGGGAACGGCCATAGATAACACTATATAAAGTGGAATCACCTGACACCAAAATCTATATGGCATGAACTATATATGGTGTTAACTAGGGATGTAACGGTCGGTCGTGGTCAGACAACGGTTGGTCAACCGGTCGGTCACGGTTATGACCGGTTATAATAACGTCTTCTGCGGTAACTGATTTTTACGAAAAATGTGAATAATCTTGTTTTTGATCGTCGCTCCTTTATTGATAATCATTGAAAGGTCGAATAATTAAAAAAAAAAATAATATTATTAAAATATAGTTTTAAATTCCCTAAAGAAATTATCAAAAAAGTTCATGCAATTTATAATTTTATAATTGATTATAATAAGATTTATTTATTTATATTTGAATTAATTTTTTATTATATTTATCTCAACAGCTTCATATTGAAATTAGATAAATTTATACAATGTTTTAGATTAATGATATCTATTTTCAAGAATTACGTATAAATTAAACTAAACAACTTTTAAATGTAATTGAAGCAAGAATCCGACCGAAAAAATATTGAAGTTTGCGATTGGACTGTCCAATACGTTTAAAAATTAATCATATGATTTTTAATATTGTTAGCCAGTTAGTCATCATTTCTCAGATTTAATAAAAATCATTCATTAAACCTAACAAAAGAACGCGTGTATCAAAAAAAAAAAAAAAATGCAAACAGACTGGAAAAAAAAAAATTAATTTAATTAGTAAATTGTAAATTTTTTTTTTTGATTTTTAAAATTCTCATTTTTTTAAATCGCCGTTTTCGAATTAGTGTGAGCAGGTGATTTGTCGATCAATTTAAAAAAGAAAAATTAAAAACACTAGAAAAATATTTAAATAACACTTGAAAAAAATAAAAAAAAGTAATATTAAAACACAAAAAATAAATGTTACATTAAAAATTACAAATTATATAATAAAATTAAACAATTTTTTCGTTCTCATTATTGAAAAAAATAAAAAAATCCTTCCAAAAAATGAATAATTTCTCTAGTAATTTAAAACATCAAATATTCCTAAATATATTTATAACAAGAACACATTGGATCCATGAAAAAAATTAACAATTATTGCATTTTTCTAAAAAATCAAAAATTTCATGTTAGAATGAATTATTATAAAATGATAAAGACTCATCCAAAAAAAACCATTTCTCATTACTTACTTAAAATATATTTTATAAAAAAAAAAGATAAGTATAAGCTAAAACGAAGCTTTTAGGAGAAAACTTACTTAGGAATCGCAACAGGAATCTCGCCAATAATTGTAGTAATAGGGAATCGTTTTGGAATCGCTAGGAAGCTAGGAATCGTTTTATAAGCTAAAAGAAACTTCTACATATTAAACCTCACTAATACAAAAGGCTCAAATACTCTATGTTATGAAGGTTAATAAAAGTTAAAAAGTTTTGAAAAAATAATTTCATTAAGAAAGTTTTTTAGTTATACTTTAGTGTAATCCGAAAATCCTTTTTTTATTATAATTGATCGACAAATCACCTGATCACACCATTTTGAAAACGGCGATAATTGGATAACGATACCAGAATTGATTGCTAAGCAAATCCTTTTCTTATTAGTACAATGTTCCTGTCGTTGATTTTTGCTTTTTTTTCAAATTACAAATGTTAAAACGGCGAAAGCGAAAATATCGCGAAGGGATAAAGGAAGGCTTTTTTTGAGGCGCATGTATACAAATACAAGAAGGGGCGAGCGAGGTATATTGAGCTGTTTAAGGCTTGCTTGGCAAAATGATCTTCAAAGGACTAACTGCAAATATCGAAACAATTTTACATACGAAATACTCCCGCCCACGAATAATTATTGTTCTCTTTAAGAATCCTAAAAAAAAGAGTTTATTGAATTTAGTGACAACGTCTTAAGTATTGTCGAACAAAATTTTTTTTTTGTGAAGTGTCTTTATTAAAAAGAAATCTGTAAAAAAAAAATTTGTTCGACAAACTTCCTGATTGCCTTATGACCTAAATAAAAAAAGAGAAAGCCTCCCTAATGTTCAGTATATCGAAGACACTAATAATTAATTGAAAAAAAAGCTAACTTCAAAAGAAATGATACATTATAATAAGTTCGTCGAATAAAATATACACAATCAATACATTTTGGAGATACACGGTAAAAGGTAAATTTATAATATTCTTTTATTAAACTCTTGGTTTTATCTATCTCGAGTTGATTTTCATTCAGAGGGAAAATACAAAATATGAAATAATTTACTAATAAAATATTATAATAATTAATATAATAATAATTTAATTATAATAAATAATACTCATAACTAATTACAATAACAACGAATTCGTATATTTTTGGAGAGGATAAAAATAATTTAATTATAATAAATAATAATGTCTAATGAATCATTCATCGGTTTTTATCACATATACTGACACATTGAAATAAAGTATTTTATGCATCTAATAACCATAAATTATGGAGTTGGTCGTTAGGCGGGCAAAAGGCCCATTCGATGTTGAAAATAACGACCTTTGTTGCTTAGTTCGAAGCCTAATTCTATAAGATACAAATTTCTTCGTATCCTATTTCCCTCCACAATTCCACTAATTTTGTTCGAGAACTCCTTTGGTCTAGGTGGAAACGGGACGAAACTCTTTTCAATTTCCATGATTTCTCCTCCTTCGTCAAAAGATTCGTCATTTCCAAACTGGTATATTAACACTCAGTTTTGGTGTATGGATCTTTTGCGATTATTGACCATTCTTTGCAGGTTAATCACAAGTTGAATGGTCTAAAAATATTGACTTTAATAGATTTTTCGAGGTGTAAAACATTGGACTTTTTTGTATATATGATGTTTGTAAGGATAAGGGTAGTCATTTTTGTGCTTTTGCTTTAAAATGTAAATAACTGTTTCAAGTCAGTTATGAAAAAAAAGATGATTCGAATTTCGACCTATAAATAGTAATAATAAAAAAAAGGGTACCTTGAAGTTATACTGATTACGTGTTGAGTAATTATTACTAAAAAAAAAAAAAAGTTTAATATTTTTAGCCCAAGCTTGATAAAGAAAAAAAATTGCATATTTCATTCAAGCTTTCAAGCTCTACTTTTTTAGTCTTGACAAAGATATTTATTTGTTTCGCATCTTTATTATTTCCTTTTTGATATTTATTAAAATAATTTTTTTAAATCAAGTTTGGCGTAACTCCGATTTGTAAACCTTTAACTTTTTTTTTTTAATGTATACTTTCTATCTGCATTGGTATTATTACGTAACTTCAATCCCGGTTTTTACAAAAATGAATTTAGTTATATTGTTCATTTTTTAATTCATTGTATAATGATTTATTTTTTAAGAAATTTTGTACAAGATATTTAACTTGATTAATACTCATTATAAAATCTTATCTGAAACTGATGTTTAATCTCAACCGATAACAGGTTTTTTTTTAAGTCCAATTCCCTTAAAAATTTTTTATTGTATCATATGATACATATTTCTTTGTCAAAAAAAAAAAAAAAAAAAAAAAAAAACCATTAGGGACATTCTGCATATTTTCGTTTTAATAAAATCTAAATTAAAAAAAAAACTTTTTGTTGCATGTTTTACATATTCCTTCATTCCATTCCTTTTTTTGGTTATTGTATATAACACGAAAAATAATTATTCAAAAAAAGAAAAGCTTTTCTAAATGTACGCATCATTTGCTTTTGGTTGCAAACATAATCCGAGGTGGAATTTCGAGTAATATAAATCATAACGAATTAATCTTACATAATAAATTAACAGCTTTACCCGTTTATTGAGAGGGTAATCTGAAAAAGTAATTTAATAAAAATATATTTATTCATTTATCGTTATCGTTATTATTAATAAATACTATTTTTATTGAAGTCGTTCTACCAAATTATTACAATTTTACACTTCCATATTATAATTATTATTCATATTTAGTTGGCATTTTGATCATCACGATCGACGTGCTTTTTCATTGTTAGTTTTTTTTTTCGAACTACAGAATAAATGGTTAATACCAGAAAGTGAAAGATCACAAATTTGGTTTTATTATTATTTTAACTATCATTCAAATTTTTTACAATTGTTCAAGATAAGAGATATGCATGTACCACAATAAATGATTTGATTTTTATGAAAGCTAATATAATGTAACCTTTTAAGTTACCTAAAAAAAGGTTGATCCGACACACCGTACCGTAAAAAGTAACATTTCCGAGATTTAACCCCAACTAGCAATTGAAAAATGTTCCGTATGAAAAGTTTCTCGGTCTAGCCAATCAAAATTTTTCACACGGAAACATAATGATGAAAGTAATCAAAAGCGAGATATCCGGACAAGAGTACTAAGAGTTGTGTTACAAAATATCATTTGGTAATGAAACCACCACCGGTAGCAGGACTTCATCTCACAAATTTAAAAGGAATCCCCTTTCGTTTAATCTATTTTTCAGAAAAAAATCTAATTTTTTCTACCTCGCTCGAAATCAAAATCAAAATTTTTTAAACATCTTTAAATAAATCAATTCACCATTAAACTTTAGCCTGCATTATTTCACGAAATAAATTTAGGTCCCATTTTTATTAATAACATATACGAAACCCTTCGATAAACACATCTCTGACAAAATCCTTATACTATCTAATTAGTATAAGATATTTTAAAATAAACTTTATCCAAAGGAAAAGTCTTCATTTTATGATCGAACTAAGAATCAAACATAACATAATACAATCCGACTCGAACAAAGTTCGCTTGGATCAAGCGAACGTATTTAGCATCATCTTACAAGAAGGAGCTGCTCGATTTTCCTCTTGTAATCAACTATGCTTCTCACGAACAAATCATTATTAGCAAATTGTTGAGCGAAAATTTAATGTTGAAGACATAAAAGAAGGAAATCGCTCATACTTTCACCAAAAGTCTATCAATTTATGCTTCATTGATATACTTTCATTAAAAATTTATTTCGATGACCCACTTCATACATCACTTCCACTGGTATCGAAATTCACATAAAATTCATTTTAATACATTCTTTTGACCTTTTTATAAACAAAGGGTTGAATATAAATTAGAACATTTAGATTAATTATTTACTGCGCTACTTATATATGTGAGCATTTATCTTTATTATCTATTATATTTTACATAATTATTATTTATCATACTATATTTTATTTTTGGAATCTTACCGAAACTTCGTTGATTTGTATAATTAGCATCATTAAATACATCTATCGTTGTATTCAGTTCTTTCATTTATGTATTTATAAACAATTTTGTAATGTAAATAAAAGATTTTATTAAATAATTGTCGAGTAAAAATGAAGTAATTGTGACAAGTATTTATTTTATAATATCAAATTAATCAGTGTTGCCTCAACGTCGGCGATCTACACTTTCATCAATATATTAAAGTAAAGAAAATCGGAAATAAAAATAAACGAAGTTACAAATACGAAATCTAAAAAGTTAAAAGGCTAAAGAGAAAATATCACGAAGAAAGGATTTCGAGGTTGATCAAAAGACTAACCAAGACTAACTGCAAATATCGAAAGCGATTTTCCTGCGGAATTATGAGTTTTCAGGCGAAATTATATCCAGTGTAACACTATTTTATATTATACATCTTTGTGTACAGTTTGACTTGTATTATAAATCCTGAAAAAAAAAATAGAGAATTTTATTTTTAAAATATTTATTAAATCTAAGACAATAAATCCCATTTTATTTCAATCCTAAAATTTCTGAGTATCATGAAAAAATATTGTTGAGAAAATTTTTTTCGTATATTTGTTTTGTTTTACCAAACCAATTAATAATAATTAAGGATTTGATAAACAATGACAATTCTCTCAAATAAGAACCAAGAATACTTGTAGTGGCAATGATCAGCAATCGAGAACGAGTTTCTAGTTCATATGAATTTCATTATGCAGATTACCTGGTAATAATCATTATGTGGAATATAGAGACAAAAGAGAAGCTTGTTCAGCAAAAAAAGGATGGAATAACCTTACAAAATCCTTCTCAATCAAATGGTAATATTCTATTACGTTACGTTAAAATTTTACGAAGAATAATAAATGTATTAGTTTGATGGCTTTTTAAGATTACCTATTCTCAGTCATAACTTTACTGTGTAAATCATAATATGAAAGTTGTTGGATTAAAACGGATAAAGCGAATACAAATGAAGGGAGAAGTTTTACCTATATATACAATCTAACAAAATGTATTTTTTTTTTTTACTCTTTCAAAATATTGTTTAAAAAAATGTAAAGTAAAATCGACCTAAAATCTAATGCCAGTTGCTAGAGAAAGGCTCCTTTATACCTATGTGGACAATCCAACCAAAGTTTTGAATCTTGGAAATATTCCTAATTCAGCTTATCCTTTTTGCTATGCATTATTACAAAATAGAAAACAAAACTAGCGTAGATGCAAAAAATATAATTTTATTGATTCTGATTATTCCAATATAATTTATAAAGTTGGAACTTATTTTGACTTTGAAAAAGAAAGGAGCTCGATGGCATTATCTATAGTTGAAATGCTAATAGATCATCTGACTTTTATTGATTTCAACGGAGCCATTAGAACGAATTATATTGATAACCGAATTTTTACTACCTAACGTTCTTGTTTTTTTTTTTTCAAAATAATAATAATGATGATAATGATAATAATATTTCATTTTAATTAAAAATACAAAAACAAAAAAAAAAAAAAAATTAACGAATTAAACTTTTGATCTATTTTTTGATCTTATTAATTACTAAATTTTTTTTAAATCATAGGAACGCGGGTCTGTGCTACACCCATCGTGATCTTCCTTTTTTATCTTCGAATTTCTCAAAAAGAAACCCAAAATATATTGTCGTAGTAAATAATTGGTTTTTATAATAGTTTGTTTTGCTTAAAAAATCTAAAGGTACAAATAATTACTTTTAATTTTTTTTTATTTTTTTTTATAAAAAGCGGTAATCACTATCTATTGCTTTGTAGTATTTAAAACCATTTTTATTTATTTTTTGTTTTAATACCCGTGAAATCTTTCAATTTTTTAAATTTAATATAATTAAATTTATCTGAAGAAAATTTATCGATAATTATAATCAAAAAGGAACTCTATAAAACTTAATTTTTGCTTTTGTACTCATTTTATTTGCTACACTTTCAATTAGAGGCCTGCAACGGGCCGGGTCCAGTGCGGGAACCCGGCCCGGTCCCGGGTACGGGCCGGCAAATATAAGTTTAGAATCTTCCGGACCCGGTCTATTTAACTGAACGTGACCTGCAATATTTAGTTGACTTTAACTACAATAACCACATCCGTTATTCCAGTGATATTGAGAAGAAGAAATATGCTGTTGCGGACAGTGAGATGAGATAATTATTACTTAAACGAGACATAAAACAATGAATGTATAAAGTTGCTTGCGACTTTCGCCAATTTATTATATGACTCGATTTGCTTCGTTGTCAGGATTAAGTGATAATAGAACTCTATCATTTTTAAAGCTTTAGATAAAATAATATTTTTTTTTTGGGATAGAACTACCGGAAAAAAATAAAAAAAAAAAAATGAGAACATATAGGAGCCTTGCGGATCATGTAAATCTCGGCCTGAAAATCAATTACCAAATACGTTTTGCTCCTAAAAATTGATATTTTTCGTTTAACATTTGGCTTATACTGTATGAAATATGTGTAACAAATCAATTTTAGAAGATATTGTACCTGTTTCAACAATAGAGAACTAACTTGTTTGATATGAAAACTAATATGATAAAATCACGAAGAACAAATAAAAGAACGCTGTCAATTAATTTGTCGAAGATTTATATACATATA